GCCTCCGGAGCCTGAGGGAGGCCGTTTTCGCCCTTTCGGAGGCCTGAGGGAAGTTTCTGCAGCTTTGGGAGTCCGAAAAACGGGCCCATTTCAGCACTTTTGGTATTTCCAGAAGGCTGGTTTTCGGCCTTCAGAGCCTGGGGAAGGCCATTTTCGCCCTCTCAGAGGCCTGAGGGAAGTTTCTGTAGCCTCAGGAGGCCGAAAAACGGGCCTGTTTCGGCACTTTTGGTATTTCCAGAAGGTCTGTTTTTCGGCCTCCCGAGGCTGCAGAGGCTTCCCTCGGGCTTCTGGGACGGCAAAAATGGTCTCTAACGGGCCAATAATCAGCCGGGAGGCGCACTCTCCTTGCCACCTGTGGTACGGGCGCCATAGCTTCGCCATCGTGGATATAAGACGATGTGCCGTTGCTAAACGGGACGAAACTCCCTTAGTGATGATCTCTATCCTCCGGATTCTGGGGAAAGCGAAAAACGGCCTCCGTCGGGGCTGTAAGTCAAGGACCGCCAGCGGAGAAGAAGGCGCTAACGTAGACGGGGAGGGGGAATGTCTCTGGTGGGGCTAACGGGGGGTGTCTCTCCCCTTCTTCCTTCCCTTCCCTTCCCCTACCCAACCTCCGGAAAGGTCCGGAAGTACCTGTTGCTCCTCGACATCCGGAAGGACCACGTCAAGTTCTGGCGGCCGCAGATCTTGCTGATGGTGGCCAACCCGCGCGGAGGAGCCCAGCTGATGAAATTCATCAACCACCTGAAGAAAGGTGGCCTCTTCGTCTTGGGCCACGTGGAGATCGGGGACCTCGGTAGGGGCCACGGATCGAGGCCTGGGGGGGGGCCCTCCCCTTCCGTGGGATGCCACGGATCGTGGCGGCGGGCGGTTGGAGGCAGGGATCAGAAAGACCAAACCCCAGAAGCATGTGGGAAGTCGCGGGGACGGTGGACGTATTCAGCCGGTCCGCACCGATTCGGAAATAGCGGTCAGCAAGGATTTGGCATGGATCGCCGAACCCGGGAGTAACTTCTGGCTGGCCACGCCGCCGCCCCCGCCAAACCCGGTTGCCGGTCGCTCGCTTGTCCTCACCCGCCTGACACTCGCCCCACCCGGTCACTTCTTAAGGTATTTTCCCGCTCCCCTCCCGACGATCGGCTGTTTCCGACGATCAGCTGTGCCGGGATTCCCCTCGCTGTCTTCCTGCTTCCCCCAGGAGGAAGGAATGAAAGAAGGAGAGGAGGATGAAGGAAGGAAGGAAGGAAGAGGAGGAAGGAAGGAAGGAAGGAAAGAGAGGAGAAGGAAGGAAGGAAGGAAGGAAAGGAAGGAAGGAAGGAAGGAAGGAAGGAAGAGGAGGAAGGGAGAGAGAAGGAAAGGAAGAAAGGAAGGAAGGAAAGAAGGAGAGGAGAAGGAAGGAAGGAAGGAAGGAAGGAAAGAGAGGAGGAGGAAGGAAGGAAGAGGAGGAAGGGAGAGAGAAGGAAAGGAAGGAAGGAAGGAAGGAGTGGATGATCAGCTGTTCCGATGATCAGCTGTGCTGGGATTCCCCTCGCTGTTTTACTGCTTCCTCCAAGAGGAAGGGATGAAAGAAGGAGAGGAGGATGAAGGAAGGCAGGAAGGAAGGAAGGAAAGAGGGAAGGAAGGAAGGAAGAGGAAGGAAGGAAGGAAGGAGAGGAGGAAGGAAGGAGTGGATGATCAGCTGTTTCTGACGATCAGCTGTGCCGGGATTCCCCTCGCTGTCTTACTGCTTCCCCCAGGAGGAAGGAATGAAAGAAGGAGAGGAGGATGAAGGAAGGCAGGAAGGAAGGAAAGAGAGAAGGAAGGGAGGAAGGGAGGAAGAGAAGGAAGGAAGGTAGGAAGGAAGGAAGGAAGGAGTGGAGGATCAGCTGTTCTGATGATCAGCTGTGCCGGGATTCCCCTCGCTGTCTTACTGCTTCCCCCAGGAGGAAGGAATGAAAGAAGGAGAGGAGGATGAAGGAAGGCAGGAAGGAAGGAAGGAAAGAGGGAAGGAAGGAAGGAAGAGGAAGGAAGGAAGGAAGGAGAGGAGGAAGGAAGGAGTGGATGATCAGCTGTTTCTGACGATCAGCTGTGCCGGGATTCCCCTCGCTGTCTTACTGCTTCCCCCAGGAGGAAGGAATGAAAGAAGGAGAGGAGGATGAAGGAAGGCAGGAAGGAAGGAAGGAAAGAGGGAAGGAAGGAAGGAAGAGGTAGGAAGGAAGGAAGGAGAGGAGGAAGGAAGGAGTGGATGATCAGCTGTTTCTGACGATCAGCTGTGCCAGGATTCCCCTCGCTGTCTTACTGCTTCACCCAGGAGGAAGGAAGGAAGGAAGGAAGGAGGATGAAGGAAGGCAGGAAGGAAGGAAAGAGAGAAGGAAGGAAGGGAGGGAGGAAGAGAAGGAAGGAAGAAGAGAAGGGAGGAGAGGAGGAAGGAAGGAAGGAGTGGATGATCAGCTGTTCCGA